AACCCAGTTCCTCCTGAGAGAAAGCCATCCATTTGCTGTGGGTCCTTCCTGACCTTTCTCTACAGTAACAGTTTGTAACTTGAACAACATCACTTTTACTAATTGACTCACACTTGGCTTTGCACCAAAATAATATCATTTAGCTTGATCATCCGCATCATTCATGAGATTTAACTCTAAATGGATTTTGGTTGGTACCAAAAATCAAAACCATCCTCAGAGAACAAATAAGAAAGAGGAAGACTTAGCATTATTGAGAATTAAAAACAGAAAACTTTCCCTGAAAATTTTCCAAAAAATGATCCATAAGCTCTGAAAGTAATTTCAAAACTGTGGGAGGGAAGGAGGGAGGGGGCAAGGGAAAGTGGTGGGGGGGAGACAAAGACAAATGTATTTAAAAAAAATAAAATAAAAGAGAGCTGGGAAAAAAAAAAACAAAAACTGTTCTGAGCAATGGCAACATAAAAAAAGGGGCCATTTAAGCTATTCACATTGCTTTAAGTACATATCTTGGCTATTAAAAAGACCTACTTGTGTTCAGATGAGAATTTGCTTGTAAAAGCTATAACCCAGCATCCTCACTCAATTTTTGTCAGCAACTGGGTCTTCTGTTTCTCTTACTTAAAGGAAACATTCTCATTTTGAAGCTGTTAAAATTATTAATCTTCTAATCTTCAAGTAGATACACTAAAGGTAAAACCTTTTAAATGACCCACCTGGCAAACTATGTGAATACCTTTTGCTCATTCAGACAGAAAAACAGCATGGCTAATGGTAGGAGACCTGTGCTTGGCGTTTACAGTAAGAATTGACCTGTCCCTTGCAGACTTTTCAACACTTGGAAATGCAGTTTCAATGGTTCAAGAAATAATGGAGAATTGTTATAGAACACAGGTGACCACAAATGCCCCTGGCCCTATGGTGCAGCAAGAATCTGCCTCACACACAGAGTAACTCTCCCCTGCCGGCTTCATCCCACCTGATGCTCAGTAAAGCCTGTGGCTCTCTTCTCTTTAGTCTGGAACATCAGAGACATACTTCTTATTGTTGCATTGTCAAGCCCTTTAGTTGTTTTTTTTTTTTGTACCTTGTTGAATGAAAATAGTTCATTTTTCTCATTTTAGAAATGTTTTTCTAAATGCAGATTAAGTTAGACATGAGAAAAGACAGATTCACAGCAGTCTAGTTCTTCAGTAACAGTGGTAATGAACTGTGTGTGTGTGTGATGACTCTCCCACTTTAGTGCCCTTCATTCACAGCCTGTAAGCTCTGAGCCCAGTGTGATGGGTTCCTGAACTGCTTCTAGGAGGTGACCAGAACTGCTTGCCCTTAAGCTACCCCGCTTCCTAAGACCAACTGAAAGGAGCTCACAACCAACTCTGTTCTGTTGGCAACAGACTAGCCACAGAGAGCAAGGCCCTGCTTCAGGAAAATGACTGGACAGCAAGGGCCAGGAATGAGTACTTCAGGCTGGGCACAGGAAATGCTACTCTCTGTTCACCCAGGCACAACTTGGTTGAATTCCTAATCTTGTAGGAATGATCTTTATGTCCACAAGGAAGCTCTCTCCCATTTTTCTGGAAACCAGTGGCCCTCTATCTTGTTTTTACCCTTGTGGTAAAAGAATGAGCACAGAAGAATTTTCACTAAAAAACAATCCACACAGAAAGATGGTACCACAGCCAAAAGGTGGGTACCAGCCCATCTTGAGTGGCAACTGCTTTGCAGCTGCAGGCTGGGGGTGCCTGGCAGGAATAGAAGCCAGTGAGGCCTGATATGCTAACTATTCAAGAAAAGATGTACATTCCAATATTTATGTAAAATCTCCTCATTTTTACAAGTTCAATCAAATTTTGTCATAGCACCCTGTGGGGCAAACCATACACAATGGCTACCACCCAGGCCGTGTTTACAACTTCTACAGAGAAGGTCTCTGGGTGTAGGCTTCTCCCATAATAGGGCACTTTGGATCCAAAGAACCCAAGTTTCTGTACCAACACAGCTGACGGTTGCAGTCCTCATCTTCCTTCCCAACAGCGGGGTAAAAAAACAAATGGCCTCCTTCCCCGCATCCCCCATAGAGCTGGTGCAGCATGGGCTGCACTGAGTGCCAGCCTGATGATGCTCTATCTCTACAGGAAGGCCCAGGCACCCATATTTTCACAACTGATTTAATCCCTGAAGCAGTTGGTAATGAAGAAATAGCAGACATGACTCCTTTTGTTAATTTTTAATTGAAATTGCTGTTTTTATAGGTCAAAGTGGCTGAATACCCACAATTTCATATGGTTCAACCTAAGTAAAATATTCCTGCTTCTCTGCCATTCCTCAGAGAATGGCTGGCCACCTTGGCCTTGGCAACTGTCCACCAAGCCCTGGGTTGTCCAGGAAGGTTTAGCTGGCCCTGCTGGATTGGGTTGCAGGATGTTAGAAAAGGCTGCTTAGGCCGCCATCAGCTCTAGCAAGAAAGGTTCCAGTGACTTGTGTAAAGGCTGTCTCTGGAATATTTATGTGCTTTTATTGTTTTCCTATCACTTGGCAGTCCAAGGTAATGAAAAGAAATCTAAGCATCCTCAAAGTTCTGAAATCACATACACCAGGCTCTAAAAAATAAGCCTGAGAAAGAACACATTGGATTTATAGCACAACCCACTCACTGTTGTTTGCCATTATTTAAAGCATTCACTTTTTCTGTAATTAATTTCCATTTTCATTCAGAAATGGCTGCTTCCACTAAACTGAGAACAGTACTATCCCATAACCTGGATTCTCTGGAATGGCATCTCACAGGCACTGTGATGATGAAGGCTGACCAGCCTTAGCCAATGCAAACTCCATCTATCCCTTCATTGGCAAGAAGGGACCTGGCACGCAAAGGGTGTTCTTCCAACAGACATTTTTGGAGCCAGCAAAGGAGGAAACCTGGGGAGATGGTGCTGCACAAGGAAGGTAGGGCATGATAAAGTCGGGGGTGAGGGCACTGCCCTCACTGAGGAAAGTATCTTTGACTATACAAAGGAAATCTTCCAGAATGAGCAAGATGAACACAGGCAAACTGCTGCTCCTGAATAGGGGCTCCATGGGACCCACTTCCATATGTAATAGAACATACATCCTGAGTAAAAACATACTTGTGTCTTTTTCTTTCTTTGTAAACTTGTCTTCCTGCCACGCCTCTCTGCTGGTCCTCATACAGTATGATTGTATATGTGCTCATCCCATCACATGACTGGGAAGGGAACTCTCAGTCTGGGGACAGAGACCAGTGAGTAGGCCCTAAGCCAACAATGGGTGGAAACAGTGAGAGGGAAGGCAAGTCAGATGGAAGAAAGATGATCACTGAAGCAAATCTGAGGGGAGGACAGGGGTGGGTGGAGCCAGGCTCAGTAATGGAAAAGCAGCCTGAGTTGCCCTGGTGTAGTGACTGGAAGCACTTTGGAGCTTGGGGCAGAAAGTGTAACATGGGAAACTTGGACAAATTCATGGTAGGTATTCCCCAGAAACTGGAGAGCTGCCTACTGATGATGACAATGAGTGGGATAGTTTTACCTGTTTCTTCCCAAAGCCAGGGGTCAGCATTTATATATAGCCCTTGCACTAAGGCCTAGGCAAAGCAATGATGGCCGATTCTTCTGTAGTTCTGAAACTCTTACTGTCTCTTCTCTCTTTAAACCCAGGAGAATTGCATGTATTTGGTGTTCAGAACTTCAGAAGAATTAGGACCTCCTTTAGATAACAGTGTGTGTGCTGCAAGGGTTGTGATATATAGGCTTCAGGATACCAGTGTTCAGTAGGGACACTGCAGGTACTAGACTGCTTGGATAACAGAGGGCCACAGGGAAACCACTGTGTTTATGAAAGCCATGTCCATGAGGCTGCAGGGGACTGTGGACTGAACTGGGGATCCAGGGAGATAGAGGAAGGAAACAGGTCCCTGGGGCTGAAGCATGACTGATCTAAGACATCCCAGGGGCCCTGGGCTGGCTGCACTATACCGACCAGGATGGCTGCAGCCTCACATTCATAGTCTCCCTAAACTGGTTACCAGACAGCCCTGGTATTGACACACACACTCTGAGGCATTGAGTATTGTGAGGGATTCTACCTCCTTTGCCCACCACCAAAGCCAACAATTTATAAGTGCATAAATATACCATTCCCAAGGCTTTCACTAAAAGCAACCAGATTCACATATTGTAAAACTAGCTCAGAATAGAAAGTCCCAGTGGCCTTTGGTCTACCAGGTATTGATCATAGAGCAGGTTAGCTGTATTGACATTTCAGTGTTTTATTTTCTAGAGGAGGAAGGGGTTTCAGAAGCAGCTAGAAACCTTAAAAAGAAAACAACCTGAAGAGCATTACCAAGGGCTGTTCTGTAAGCCCCCAACACAATCCAACCTGCCCTGATACTCCTGAGGAGGCCCTGAGCCCTTGCTGTCCCACTGTCACCACTCCAGCTCACCCACACGCTTTGCATTGCTGAAACTCCTCAGAGTCTTACAAATGCAGGTAGTGAGCACAAGTGCATTTAAAAACAGATTTCTCCATAACAACATGGATGGATCTCATAAGTGTAATATAAGTGAAAGAAGGCAGACACCAAAGAGCAGCTACTGTAAGATTCCATTGTTATAAAGTTCAAAAGCAGGTGAAACTAATTTGTGCTGGTAGCTATTGGGCATTGGTGATTTTCTGTGGGGCATGCCTGGAAGTGGGGCCTGAGCGTATTCCTGGGGGATGGTGATGTCTTTTTGTTGATTGGGTTCTGGGTACACAGGTGTGTTCAGTTTGTATGAATTCACTGAGCTGAACATTTACGATGCACATGCTTTTCTTTAAGTATATTAACCTTCAACAGAGAGTTTTCAATACTTCTGAACTGCAGGGGTGGACTGACATGGAATGCTCCTCTGCTTTGTGGCCCTCATTGGCACCCAGACACACTTGGAGCCTGGGCCAGAGGCGTTGGCAACACTGAAGAGGCTGAGGCCCACACTTACCTGCTGCAGCCTGTCCTCTTGCCTCCTGCTCTGACTTGGGCGGTTGATGAAAGAACGTGTGGACACTTTGTAGTGATTCAGCAGGCAGACAATGACCACAACCATCACTGTAACAACCACAATGATGATGATGATCTGGGCAAACTCCAGCTCCGCTGCAATGGAAGAGGAAGCTGTATTAAACCACGTGCCCCTTTGCATCATCACTCACTCAGTTCTCCAGATCTCATCTCCTCAAGGCACTGTGATCATGACAACCACCAGGCATTGAAGGCCACTTGTATGAATCTGGTCCTCACAATAACCTCATGAAAGTGAAACTATTTTTCCACAGGCCGACTACACAAGGCCACTGCCAGACTTTAACATTCTAATAACATTTAAATAAAGGGAGACCCAGGCATGGGGTCCACTTTCCAGAAGACCTCTGATGATGAGACGAACCTTGTCTTTGCAATTTTATAATGAGAAGAGCAGTAGGAAAATGTATTCCATTGGCCCTACAAGACCTATTGAAGTGCTGTGCTGTAAGTTACGACATCCCACACATGAAACTCAAAGACCAGCCCAGTGTGCATGCCACAGGCTGGCTGCTGCACAGGATACCCCTTCCTACTTGGCAGGCAAGCCTTTAAGAGCCATCTCTTGGGGTATAAAAATTTCAATGCCCTCCATCACTTAATCTTTGTGTTGCCAGATGACATCCTCCTCTGTCACCTTTAGGGAAGTTAAGAAAGCCTCTCAAAACTGGAGCTGTTTCTCCCAGGGTAATCGCTCTAGGAGAGTTAAACCTATCTTTATGGTTGAGTCAAGTTTCCCAAGGCACATACACACAAGATCCACAGAAAGTATATGTTTTAAAAGCCCCCACCTCCTTTCCTCAAAGCTGCTGCCTTTGGAAGTAACTTAGAAAGATAACATCTTTACTGTCTCCAACTCCGAGGGCACCATACTTTGTGAGCAGTCACATCACCACTGGGTTTCTGACAGCGCCATTACAAAGATTTTCTAAATTCCATTAATGCATTCTTCACACTAGTATGGTGCCATGGAACTACTTCTGGAAAGACAGCACTATGACTTGGCAATGAGAGAAGTAGGTAATTCAAGACCTTCAGTTTTGCAGGAAGAAAGCAGAGGTTCAATGCTCAAGGTCAGCTCTAGAACCCAGACCTTCTACTTTCTGGCTTCCAGGTCATGACTCTGCTGAGTGCTGGCTACCTGTTTTTCTCTGAGTCTCCCCACACACTAACAGGGAATGACTGTGTAGGGGCATCAATTCAAAGAGTGAGAGACTCAGGAAGATGGTAAGGAGAACAGTGTACAACTTTTGTTGTGAGATGGGCAGCTGTGGGGTATAATGAAGGGCAAGAGAAAGAGGGGAGAGTTCTCTTGATTGTGCTACTGCCTCAAACTTGCAACACATATATGCATGCACACTCACACATACATTACATATGCACACAGAGACGCACAAATGCATGCATGCACATATGCACAACACATGCATGGACACACATGGGAATTATGCATTCATGTACACATATACACAAGCATACAAATACACATTGCATGGATACACATAAATCATGTACACCTATGCACACACATGTATGTGTACACACAATGAGCACCCTCTTGCTGCAGCAGAACTCAGGTCACTGGCCAGTGGAGAAGCATTATCTCTCAGTGAATGGGCTCACACTTAGGATGATGATGCAAAAGGGGACTTTTTGCACCCTCTCCCAATATCTGCCTACTCCATCCACACTCGGAACAAAGGGACAAAGGCTATGGTGGGAGTAGATGAAGGGTCTTCCTGAATTCCACCATGTCCTCTCCTGTAGTACTGTCCTTCATTTCTGTCCTCAGCAGCTACATACCTGAGGGACAAAGATTTACATAGTACCTCTGGACTGGGTTGGATTGCACTTGGCACTGGACCTGTAGGGGTGCTGTTCTAGAGGTGTACCTTGGAGAATGGATACCTGAGTATGACGGAACTGAACTGCTGAGCCCCATGTGGTGAACAGTTGAGGCCAGGTAGGTTTGCTGGGTGCACCTCTAGCTGGCAGTAAAAGGGCAGATCCCAGTCAGCAGAGCTGACTGTGGAGGTTCAGGCAGCAATGCCAGAGTGGTTTTAGAGACTGGCAGTCAGCTAGGCTCTGGTCCTGGGCTCTCTACTTCCCCTTCATAGTATCACTGATCTGCAGATTCCTGAGGTCTAATGGCTGATTGGCAAGGCCTCTAGAAGGCCTTGGTGCTCAGTTCATCCCCAAGGGATTGAGCATCTACATCCTGTGGGGATAAAGCCCCCAGGAAGTCACCAAATTTATGTACATCCAAACCCCGCCCAGGAAATATCAGAAATCCTCATGATGGGAGTCTCCTGGAAAAGACTGAAATTTCTCCCAGAGGGAATAGGCTAGAAACCTTTGCATCTGGGTTACAGATATAAATGTGGCCTCATTTACCCTTGTGGGCTGTGGGATGTGTGACATGCTTGTTAATCCAGGAATACTGTCTTCATGACTCTTCCTTTGCACATAACATTTTCATGTCTAGGACACACTGTGTCTTTTGGTGTCTATGTCACATGGTGCCTGCGTGAAGTCATCTGGTTGGATCCCTTTCTTCATCACTTATGACATAAGATGTTGACTGTACCTTTTTAGTCTGTATCTTACCTGAAACTATAATCAGAAACCTATTTCTATTTATTTTCTATTTTTGGTGTCAGGCATGAGGCAGTGTCTAGCAGGTGGTTAAGTGACTTCATCACTAAAAGGGGAATCAATGAATGACTCTGGAACACACATGTCAAGACCAAGACCACCCTTCTGGAATGCATGGTTCCACTACACAGTGAGCTCCCTGCGAGGACAGCTACTGCTGACAGGACTTGGCCAAAGTGCACAAATAGTGCAACTCAGCAGAGCTGTGTGGATCTGTGCCGAGGGGTGAGCTATCAACCCAAGGCCTATCACCCCAGTGATGAGCAATCACTGACCTAAGCAGAGAGTTAATTTTACTTAGGTCAAAAGTAGCCAATGTAGCATGAGACTGAACCTCAGATAATGCCTTGTTTTACCAACTTTTATTTTTATTTTGTGAGTGAAGAGCAGAGTTCACCCTTTCAGGTTCAATCATACCCTGAAATAGACAAATGTTTTCCTTTTTTCCTCTCAAGAAAACTTCACTGCTTTATAGCTATGGAAAGAGAGGAAAGTGATAATTACAGTGAGGGATGCCACACAAAGTCTTCATGGGTTAATTCTTCACTTGGAGAATGTTTTCCTAGTTTACCCTAGTTTATCTTTTCCAGAATATGGAAAGCTGTGCAGATAACTATTTATAAAAGTGTAATACAATTATGTATTCATAATTCTATGGACATATTGGGATATATCTGTGTTCCATTTGAAAAGGATTTTTATTATAAAATGACCTTTAAAATTTAAACAATATAGAAGGAAATAGTGTATAATGTAAAAGTTGCCCTTTATGGGCCTGCAGTGCTCCCGAACCCTCCATTCAACCCCATGCTGTCCTGAGAGGTGGGGAGCATAGTTCACCCACTGTGTTTATTTGTACATTTCCTATTATTGAATAATGGATTTCTTCTTACTTATGAGTGGAATTGTACAAATATATTGTTCTAGTTTTTTTCACTTAATACTTCACACACATCTTTAAACAAGAATATCTATAAACCAACCTTTCTTTTTATAGTGACTATCTATTCCAGAATATGAATATACTAGAACTCAGATTTTCCAAATGACGGATGTTTAAGTATTTTTTTCTGTTATGATCAGAAGATTGTGTGTGCATGTATATGCATGTGTATGAGTGTCAATGTATGTGTTGACCCACATTTATAAGTATCTCTATAGCAAAGATTCCTAAAATTGAAATTTCGGGGTCAAGGATATATCTTTTTAAATACTGATAGCTGGTGGGACCCTGCATTATAAAAAGGCTCTTGCCAAGGAGAGGGCATACTCCTCCACACCTTCATTAACACTCAATACTCACACTTTTCATTTGTATTAATCTGATGTGCAAAAATAGGTATCTTGTTTTAATTTGTATTTCCCCAATTACTAGTAATTTTAGATCTTTTCCTATGATTATTGGTAATTTATATATTTCTTTTTCAAAATCAGTTTATTTGTAGTTTTCTAATTTACTTCATTTTTATTTATTTGTAAGCAATCTTTACATATTATGGCTATAAACCTTTGTCTGTTACATGTGGTGCAAATACTTTCTCCTAGTCTTCACTTCTTTAAACTTTGCTATGAGTTTCTTTATAGAAAATATAAAACTTTATGTCATCAAATACAGTCTCTTTTTTCTTTTATAGCTTTTAAGCTTGCTTAGACTGCCTTTTCTACTATTCTATTTTTCTTTTATAATTTTTGTAGATTATATTTATATGTTTAGATTTTTATTCACTCTGGATTTGATTTTTTTTTTTTTATCTGAGCCAGCAGATAGAACATTTAATGTCTGAAAGGCATACATCTTCTGATCTAACATAGTAAAAAGTTCATTGGAAGTAAGGGTGAGAAAGATCTCAGTTGTGGGAAGCAGTGGATATAGTTGCCACCACTTTTCTTCAAAGGGACTACTTGTTCTTAGGTAGCTCTTTACCAACCCCTGGGCCCTGTCCTGCCCTGATGAGGTGCTAGCACCTGGAAGGCGAAACCCACCCTTCAATGTGTCTAAATCTGCTACATTTCCTTTCTCCGTTCCACACTCTTGACCTGCTTAGACCAGCAACTCTCAAGTACTTTGGTCTCAGGACCCTTCTATACTCTTAGAAATTACTGATTACTCCCAAAGAGCTCTGTTTGTGCAATGACTTCTATCAATGTTTCCTTAACTTGAAATTAAAACTAAAAATTTTTAATATTTATTCATTAAAAATAAACTTATTACATGTTAATATATGTAACACTTGATCAAAACAACTGTATTTTTCAAAACAAAATAATTTAGTGATAAGAGTGGCATTTCTTTACACTTCCGCACATCTCTAACATCTGTATTAACAGAAGGCAGCTAGATTCTCCTCTGTACTTCACTTTCAATCTGTTGTGACATGCTGATTTGGTTGAGGTATATGAAAAAGATCTGGCCTCAGTGA